TCACCTCCCTGTTGTTCTCTAGATACGCACTCTTCTTTGGTAGGACATGTATTTGGAGAACATCGGGGAGGTGCTACCGAAATTCTATCTCGGATAGGAGTAGAGCATGGAAACTAACCTCATCTACGCATCCGCGGGTGGGATTAGGACCTATCCTCACCTATTAGACAGTAGGAACACCATGTAGATGCAATTGATGGTTACATTACTCGCTGATACATATGTTAGAGGATGGATGACTGTCAATGTATGTACACGGGCTGGAGAAGTCAGAGTGATTACACCACGGAATGGATGAACAAGACCGATGCTTTCTTGAATAGTGCATTTGGCAAGTCTGCTAAAGGACATTGCCTAGTTTTGTGTCCCTACAGCAAATGTGGAAACAGGAGAAGGGTAAACAAGGTGGAAATGGGTAAACATCTAGTAAAAAATGGATTTACGTCGGACTACACCCGGTGGGTCCACCATGGTGAAGCCCATCGTATGAGAGAGGAGGTGGTGAGACCACGGGTGGAGGCTTTTGATGCTGATGCTGGGGTAGCAGACATGTTAGATGACTTTCACCAAGCACAGATCGATGAGGGATGTGAGAAGGAGGAGATAGAGGTAGCTGCACAGGCGTTCTACGACATGATGGACTCGGCACAGAAACCCCTTCACGATCGGTCAACGGTGTCTCAACTGGATGCCATTAGACGCTTAATGGGGTTGAAGTTCGAGTTAAACTTGAGTCGAGAAGGCTTCGATAAGATGTTGGCCGCGATTGGCACCCTGCTTCCGGAGGGCCACATTCTGCCAAAGAGCATGTACGAGTCAGAGAAACTCCTTTGTGCACTTAAGATGTCGTATGAGCAGATACATGCTTGTCCGAAGGGGTGCATCCTATTTAGGAAAGAACACGAGCATGCAAAGTTCTGTCCAAAGTGTAAATCCTCCAGGTACCTGGAGGTAGACTCTGATGATAGCCAGAAGAGGCAACTTATGATCCCCGTGAAAATCCTATGGTACCTTCCGTTCCTACCGAGGATCCAACGGCTATACATGACCGAGGAATCCGCGAAACAGATGACATGGCACAAAAATGGCAAACGGTATAATCCTGACAAGATGCTACATCCATCCGATGGTGAAGCTTGGATCCGCTTTAATGACAAACATCATGACAAAGCAGATGAGCCTCGTAATGTACGTGTCGCGCTGGCAACAGATGGGTTCAATCCTTATGGAATGATGGCTGCCCCATACACATGTTGGCCCGTCTTCGTTATCCCCCTTAATCTCCCCCGGTGTCTCCTTTCAACGACATAACGTATTCTTGTCATTGATAATTCCTAGACACCCAGGGAGTAATATGGGTGTGTTCATGGAGCCCATGTTTGATGAATTGGTCTATGCTTGGGACGAAGGGGTATGGACATACGATCGAGCTACAAAGACAACCTTCAAAATGCACGTTTGGTACCACTACTCCCTGCATGACTTCCTGGCGTATGGGATATTCTGCGCCTGGTGTGTTCACGGGAAGTTCCCATGCCCAATATGCAAGGCGGCGTGGGTCACGTACGCATCGAAGACGGAGCCGGCCTACTCGTACGCATCGAAGACGGAGCCGGCCTACTCGTTTGACCACTACGCTGTCGCCGTCGATGCGGAGTACCCCAACAAGGCGGCGCGGGTGAAGGCAGAGTTTTGGGTAAGTCTCCCTCGCACAACATTGCTCAATACGTCGCATTCATTGGACTTTTCTTGAAATAATGAATGGATACATCGCTTTTGTATGCAGACTTATTACAGATGCGAGGAGGGATTTGAGGCCAGGGCAGAGCAGGTGACTACCAAAGCTTGTAAAAAACTCATCACCGACATGCATCACGAGGTGCGCATCCTGGCCATCGTAACCTACTACAGGTCGAAGCTTGGAGAGAGGAAAACCAAGAAAGACGCAAGAGAGATGCAGCTGACCCAGGAGCAGTACCTTGAGGTAAATGAAGAACATCAATATTGATTCGTTTTGAGATTAAGTTGGTTGAATTTGATCTTCTTATATGTCCAATACTTGATGACGTGTAGATGATTCCCTGGTGGTGCCAAGCGTATCCCGAGTGCTGGGCGATGATGGTGGAGAGGTGGTTCACGGAGGAGTACCTCAAGATGCACAGGGATGCCCGGGACCGTTGTTTGCAGATGCAAGGTCCAGCACACCATCAAGGTAGCCGCAGCCTCACCGGATACAAACAAGCATGGGTACGCGAATTCATTTATCTATTGTGACGCTCAGTTCTGCCTGATTTCTAATCATCGTGCTGTCTTTCTCGCAGTCAACGTCACATAGTGGCCAGGCTTGCTCGGACTTCCAGGCATGGTGTATGGCCCACAAGGGCAAGGCGACGTCCGACGTCTCCTTCAACCTGGAGGACCCGCCCGAGGCATACACGAACCTGAGCGTCCACTCCCACATCCGTGAGTACACTGAAGTGGCGAGGTCGCTCCACGATCCGAGCACCCAAGACTTCGATGGAGAGGTCGTCATGAGGGCGGGGCAAGGCAAGAAGCATGGACGGTTCTAGCTTGGCGACGGCGTCATCGACATGACATCTACTCCCTCTCTCTCCCAGATCCAAGCACGGAGCACGAGCAAGAGCCCGGCCATTCGCACACGGCCGACCGCTGCACAGCACCGGGTCGACACACTCGAGGTTATTCCTGTTTTACTTGTCATACATTGATCTTTACACACCTTAATTAGCTTTGCATTACTGAAACATTGGAGTGAAATATTGCAGGCCCGGCTGGAACAAGAAATGAGGCAACGTCAGGAGCTGGAGGCCGGGCAGCAGAGGATGGCGGCCCAGCTGAAGGCCGAGCGGCAGGCCCAGACGCAGAGGCTGACGGACATTACGGAGTTCCTACAAGGGCTTGGGCAACGTGTGGGCTTCTCTCTGCCAGCTGGGCTGTTGGTTCCACCTCCGCCTCCGCGTCCTGCAGCTGCAGCTACTCCTGTGAGTATGAAAGTTTTTTACTTTCGCTTGTGCTTTGCTTGTATGGCCTCTACCTTCATAGATTAGCTATCCAAATAATCTTGTCTGACATGTAATCTTTTCTCCTTTGTGCAGTCTCCATTTGACGGTGGTTCGAATAATCCACCTCATGCACCTCCGAATGATGGAGCTGGGCCTTCACCACAGTCGCAGTGGCCGAGATGAGTGCACGTTGTATTTTTTTCATTTGTTGTTCACTTGGTGATGGACTTGTGATATACTTGTGATGGACTTGTGGACTTGTGATGGACTTATGGATTTATTTGGATGGACTTGAGCACTTGTTATTATATATGTGATATATATTGTGATGGATGTGATATGTGCGGATGGATGTGTGGATGGATGAGATATATATGTGATGGATGAGATATATATGTGATATATGTTTGTATGAATTTATTTATCATGATGGAATGTAAAAAAAATTAAAAATTGCCGTTTTGGGTCACTTTGCCGAGTGTTGCACTCGGCAAAGGACCCCGTTGCCGAGTGCCATGGTCACAGCACTCGGCAAAGCTAGAAAAATGGGCGCTCGAAAAACCATTTTCCAGCTTTACCGAGTGCCAGAATTTTTTTTAAAAAAAATTCAAACTTTGCCGAGTGCCGGACAGAGGGCAATCGGCAAAGAATTTTTAGAAAAAAAAACATCTTTGCCGAGGGCCGGATAGAGGGCACTCGACAAAGAATTAAAAAAAATAAAAAAAACTTTGCCGAGTGCCTGCAGGGTTGGCACTCGGCAAAGCGACCGTCAACGGGGCCGGCACCGTGACGGTCGCTTTTCTTTGCCGAGTGCCCGATAAAAAACACTCGGCAAAGAGGGCTTTACCGATCAATTTTTTGCCGTGTGTTCTTTGCTGAGTGCCGCACTCGGCAAAGGCTTTGCCGAGTGCAATTTGGCCTCAGGCACTCGGCAAAGAACCTGAATCCAGTTGTGCATATTTGATACAAATATATGCTGCCTCAGTAAATAAAAGTAGGCGTCTCAAAAATCAACTTTATAGTAGAGCAACAAGTTATACGTTGTGTTATAATGCACGGACACGTTTACTTATGTAATCTGAATTCAAGATCTATTGGAAGAAATAACACGACCACTCAATAAATATTTGAATCAGAAATTGTCTAGGTGACTACATAATAACTTATACGTCACGTTGTAATATACGGACATATTTGGTAGGATATTAAAAAAACATAACAAAACTACTACGCCAATTATACCCGTAGCTCTCCTAAAATCGATGCGTTTTAAATTTCAGGGGATCCCATAAACAAAGCGTTCAATAGCTAGCTCCAAAGGTCGAGCGGTGTATGTCCATGGGACAGCACACTATCTTTGTTACGGACGGAGTTGGTCCAACTGCTGTCACGTATACTCGATCGATCTCAATAATCCACGTGGCGGTGCGGGAGCTGGTCAATATATAATGACGGGCTAAAACAAACCCTAGAGACAACGACATTTCAAAAGAAATCGAACTTGCATTTCTCCTCCGGTGTTCGGCTGTTGCGGTGCAGTTAGACGGATCTGAATCTGATTGATGCATGCAGATCGAGCACGGTTAACTCGGCCTTCAAACTCATCCAACAAGGACCGGTTCCTTACCGGGTCGATCAAGGGCTCACTGATCTCATCTCAGCTCTCTCTTCTCTCTAGCGCAGCCAGCTACTTGTTGGATCGAGATTGTTCGAGCGGTTCGAATTCGAATGAGCGCATGCACACATGCATCCAGGCGCGTGCATGGAGGTCGTTCGTTCGGCGTCGGCGAGGGCGAGCTAATTTCTTTTAATAGCCAGAGCCCACTATTCTTGCGGCGAAGAGGAGAGGCGCAGGAAAGAGCTCCGCGCCGCCCCGCTGCCCTCTCTTCTACTCCTCTCCTATGTCCTATCCCTACGACGCCGCCGACGCCGAGGGTCGCGACCCCGACCTCGCCGGCCGCGCGCACGCGTACCAGCATGTCCGCCTCCTCCTCCAAGCCACAGCCGCCGCCACCGCGCCACCTCCACCTCCACGTCGACACTACTAGTGCCACCGCCGCCGCCACCACCACCAACGGGTCGCCCGCCTCTCCCGGCTCCGCGTCCTCCTCCCACCACTCCTCCAGCGCACCGCGGCCCGCCACCCCCACCGGCCGCGGCGGCGGGAGCGAGGGCACGCAGAACAGCTGGAGCGGGGCATGCGCGGCGTGCAAGTACCAGCGGCGCAAGTGCAACCGGAACTGCCCGCTCGCCCCCTACTTCCCCGGCGACCAGCAGAGCCGCTTCATCCGCGCCCAGCGCCTCTTCGGCGTCAGCAACATGCTGAAGACGCTGAAACGGGTCGGACCCAAGTACGGCCTTGACGCCATGCGCACCATCATCTACCAGTCCGAGGCTCGCGCGGCAGATCCCGTCGGCGGCTGCGTCAGCATCATACAAGAACTGCGGCGACAGATCCGCGACTCTGAGATGGAGCTCCAGTTTGTTCGACAGCAGATCGCGATCTGTCACCAGCAGGCGGCCGCCACGGACTCCGGGCTCTCCGCCGACCCGGCGGCGATGATCCTACCTGCCGCTTCTTCCCCTGTGGTGGGACTGGTGGCTGCAGGCCAGCAGGACGACATGGTAACTGTGGACGCGATCTACGCCGCCAGTCAGCAGCCATCCATCCAGGCAGGTGATCTACGCAATAATGATCCATCGTCGCACCAGCAGCAGCTCTACGATTACTTCTGTTACAACAATGGCACCGCCGGCACGAGCGACGATGGGGGAATGCAGCAGTACGGCTTAGCCGACGTCGTCGACAGTAGTGTCGCCAAGGCTGGGTCACCGGCCGTGGCCCTCGGCGAGCAGCTGGGGCAGCACTGCCAGATACAGGCGTCGCCGTTCGTGGACGCGTTCAACGAGAAGAAGCCACAGGTCCTGCCGGCGACAATACAACACCATCGCCCTGCTGCTGCTGCCGGCGATGTGCTGCATCCACAACAGAAGAAGCTGGCCACGTCGGTCCTGGTGAAGCACGACGACGATCTAGATGAGCATATGGAGGAGCAGCAGGCGACAACAGAGGCGCCATGCCACCTGGAGTTAGGCTTCTCCACTTTCTAATGCATGAGAGATACATCCATCCATGACCATGCATAAACAGTTTTAATTTCTTAGTTTATATTCAATAATTAGTTTAAGCAACGTCGATTAGATATCTCAGTTTTGTTTAGAGAGTATGTTAGTTATTTTTGAGGATCAGTACCCATTAGTTCAGGTAGGTTTTATCATTGATTTTCGTCGCTCTAAGTGGATCAATCTTTGATGAAAGGTTCATGAACTATGTTTGAGGAAACAAGTATTATGACTTCATCATTCAATAAAATAGAGTACTGCATAAGATATGTTCAAGGACATATATGTTTATGTCATTACAATAACTAACAAATTGGCCCACGCAAATAAAACAGGTAGCGTATTTGCTTGTTGTAATATTTAGATTTTTTATTCAAATATTATTTTTACAGATAGTTTCAATTATTTATTTGATTATAATTGTCTTCTCTTTATGCGCCTTTATTCTATCTGCTATTGCATGAACTCTAAGCCAGACTTAGGGGGTGTTTGGGGGGAGTTTGTGGAGCACCACTTTAGGTGCTCTCATAACTCCACCATTTTTCCTCGAATAGAGTGCGTGGAGCTGAAATTATTTGGCTAAAAAACGTGGAGTGGAGCTGAAAACGTGGAACAGAGCAGTCTCAAACACCCCCTTAGAGCTACTGTCATCATTCTTATCTCTTCATTTTTTTTGTCTATTACTATCCCAAGACTGTGCAATTTAAGCTAAGGCCACAAAATCAAGTAGCCTTCAGACTAATCTTGTTGAACTCTATTGGTAATAAAATTTCTCTATAGATTTAAATTTGAGATGATCTTGTTGCTTCTGTTATGGATCTTTAGCTTTGTTTTTTTTTCTAGCCATCCGCTAGGAGCCTGACACCACCATTTATTTCTACATAATCATAAGTCAGTTTAATGGGCAACTAATATATTGAGTTATCCTTTTTGTCGTCTCAAATTAACTCACAATTTCTTAATTTGTGTATAGAATAAAAAGAATATTGTGAGTTGCATGGCAATCATAACTCATACAATGGTGTCGGACTTGTCACATACTCCTAAATAATGGGAGCATCTAGAGATCTTCAAAATTGGTTTTGGTCACTGAACCGATGTTGGTCAAAATTTTGTTCACGCTGGTGTTGTTTGTCCACTGCAAGTGTTTGATACATACTTGATGGCATCATCTAATAGTATAATGAACCTAGAGAAGATTAAAATGAATTAGTCCTCATTTCCCATGCATATATTTGTCTGCCTATTTTATTTTAGTTTTTCACCTGATATTGTCTGAAGATGTTGGTGAAATCTTGTTCTTTGTGGCCAATGTTTGTCGGCCTTTAATCCCACCACTTGATATTTGGTACGTTCGATGATATTGTCAAAGAACACTTGAAGACTAAAAAGAATTCTTCACTTTTTTAGTACCTTTTTCTTTTAGTTCACAATGGAATTAGTATTGCCGGAATTTGTTCTGTAGCATCATCTAATCCAATTACATCCAATGAGTTGCCATCTGCGGAGGTTTGGTTTGCGTCTACACGTATTGTCTTCACTTATATCTAATTAGATCATAATATTTTTTCTTGATTGGATATGAATTGAATTGAGTTCTTTATTAATGAGTAAATTGCGTCCACCATACAACAACTTGACAGGTGGGTGCAAATGGGTTCAACAATGTGTAAACTGCTTAAATAAGTATAACAACTTAGCAAACTGGTGCATATAAGGTCCAAATATTACTGATAATATGGCAGAATACTTCATCACTAGTTAGATGCTAGAACTAATGGATAATCTAGCCAGTATAAACATCCCAAATCCAATATGAAAAACAATAGACTGATTGCAATGCAATTTACAAAAGATGGTCACATTTGTAGTGAAAAAATGTCAACCTTCTACTTATTATTCAATGTTTTAAATCGTAGGCTATAGCATTTAGCAGAGAGGTCTGCTCAGTCACAAGAGCCCGCTATTTAGTACAATGATGTTGTAGTAGTGTATGATGAAATTTTGTCATATATTTTTTCTGTTGCCAATTAACTTTTCAGAATTTGCCCTGAGCATGCACATTTTTTTGTTACACAATTGCGATGGATCGAAGTATGATAGGGCCCGTGGAGCAGCCGGTGCGGCCTGGAAGGTTCTGGAATTTGCATATACCGTACCACCGGCAAAGATCGTGATCAGCGAGCAATATACGTTTGTTGCAAACGGTTGAAAAATATATCTACAAGAATGTAGATATCTACTGCCCTTGCTTCTCAGGTAAGGCAACAAGACTCTCTTTTGCCGATCATTAAAGATGTTTGTTGGAGAGATATATATTGGCCGGCAAACAAACGTACGTAATAAGTTGAGCTAGCTTCTCTGTATGGAGATTTGGCCAGTAGATTGATACGATGGCCAGTTCGTTTATATTGAGAGAAAAATATATACATGCGGTGGTTGGGATAGACTCGTTTATTTTTCAATCTACCGGCGTCGCCCTTGCTTGGCAAAGGCGTTGATATTCGGCTTCAGACCCCTATATAAATAGCCAGCAATTCTATGGCAAGGGTCCATTGACATTCGCCTCCAGGAGGAACTAGCTGTCAACCTCGCCATCAACTTCTCCACGCCGTCGTCCAGCACCTCCCACTTCTCCACGCCGTCGTCCAGCACCTCCCTGCTGCTCACGCTGACGCCGGAGGAACTAGCTGTCAACCTCGCCATCAACTTCTCCACGCCGTCGTCCAGCACCTCGCCACCGCCACAGCGTCTCAGGCGACAGCTACAGCAAGCCTCTTGCATCGTTGACGCTTACGGTGAGATTCTTTACATGATATAATCTCCCCTCTTGCCTCTTAGGTTCTAGATTAGATGCACACGCCAGCTACCGCAATCTGCGGTGCAGCAACGGCAGCCCCGCATCTCCCCTCTTGCCTCTTGCATGGTTGTAGATTAGATGCAAACGCAGCTAGCAATCTGCGGCGCAGTGGCAGCCGGCAATCCACGGCAAGGTGACCGAAGCCCCGGCACAGCGAACAGTATAGCGGCGAAGAGCGACGGCAGTGGGCACGGCAGCAAGCTACGGCAACCTGGGACCTCGACGTGAAGCGTGCAGCGGCTGCATGCAACGCAGCCCGGCAATGATCCAGCTTATCCGCGGCACGGGCAGCAGCACATCATATCTGACCATCTCCATATCAAAGGCCTGCAACTCCGGCAGCAGCACATGAGCAATGACGGCCCTGTAACAAGCGATGGCAGCCTGAAGATAGAAAGCTCTTAAGCAGCATAGTGGCGGATCGGAGCTTGCCCAAAAATTTAGGTGGGGCAGAACATACCTCTGACTCCGCACATCGTTCGGCTCCTAATGAGTTCGTCCACAAAGCGCGTGACAGGTCGAACAACGTGAGACTCACCGATGCAGCAGCCACGACTGTTGTCGTCCTTAGCTTTTGACGAGGCAAATAACATCCTCATGCTAGCTCACGTTCTATCAGAACCATGAGGAGGCTTTGAGAGCTCAAGCGTGAGAAGGCCACCTCCTAGAGCATCTGCGCGCTGCGGCATCGGCGTCACCATTCAGCCTACTCAGTGCCTGGCGCGGCCATGACTCGACAACGCACGCACTCGCGGCCTCACAGGATGCATCTGTGGCTGCCGTTAGACACGCGGCCGTGGGCACTAGGCCTTTGTGGCTGGGGAGCAGCCCCGGCATCGGATGCCAAAGGGTTCGAGGGGCGGCGGCGGCGGCGCAACACGCAGCAATGCATGGCCGAGTGGATCGAGTCGTCCATAGGTAGCCAACAGGAGACTGAGAGAGAGAATGGGCCTTTTTCTTGCTTCGTTGGGCTACCGTCTATTGGGCCAATTCATTGGCACACGACACAGCTCAAAAAAAAATCTTCCGTCATCAGCTCAACACCGCTGCCCTACCCTGCCATAGGGGAGCTTCGCCTCAGCAACCACGGTGGCCTGATGAGTTTGACAAAATGTGCACATGACGACAGCCCGGTGGCTATCCACCACAAGCACCTACTACTATATCAGCCCAGCAGCGATGATGCCCTGAAAGAAAGTACGGCAGCTCGGCGGTAATCTAGCTTATCCGTGGCGTGGCAGCAGTGGCTCATGGACACCTTCAGGGCGGTCAACAGCGATGAAGCCCTGATAGCAAGTACGGCAGCTCGGCGGTGATCTAGCTTATCCGTGGCGTGGCAGCAGTGGCTCATGGACACCTTCAGGGTGGTCAGCTTGTTAGATGGTATAATCTGTTCAGCTAGATGTTTTATTTCCTTGTATGTTGATAGGGTCCTTCCATAGTCGATTCATAGCTTGTAGCTTAAGTTGTTTGATAGATTATACCTTGTAGATTGATTCCTTCTTCTTGATGTACAAGCCACACCGGGGGACTGTTCCCATGCTATATAAACACGCAACCAAGTCCCTAGCTGGGCAACTCATTCAACTATTTTCACATGGTAATTAGAGCTCCTTTCCTAGCGAAATTTGTTCATGGCACTCGCTCCCTCATCCTCCGCAGCGTCTGCTGCTACCTCTCTCGCCACTTTCCTTCCTGTGAGTGAGAAACTCAACCGCAGCAATCATCAGCTGTGGAAGGCTCAGGTTCTCTCGGCATCGAGAGGTGCTTTTGCTCGTCGGGTTTATCCAACCATCGGCCCAGCCACCGGCGGCGTTCCTCCCGCCATATAAAAGGGCGACGACATCAAGGAGCCACCCACACCAAATCCTGAGTTCGCGTTGTGGGTGGCCAAGGATCAGCAGATACTCAACTACTAGTTGTCCAATCTCTCGCGAGAGATTCTCTCGCAAGTCTCCATGGCAGAGACGGCATCTGCGGCATGGGCAGCCATCGAAGGGATGTTTGCGTCCCAGTCTCGTAAGCATCATCAACACCAGGATGGCGCTCGCCACTACATCCAAAGGCGCTTCCTCCATCAATGAGTATTTCAATAAGATGAAAGGGCTAGCGGATGAGATGGCATCTG